AAATCTAGAGTTTATTTTTTTGCACTTTTCGTTGTAACATCATCTTGGACACGTTTAGTACCACTGCCGACAGGGGTACCGGTGACCGCGTTGCTGGTGGGTTTATCGCTCGCAACCAGGGGCCCAGCAGGGCGTTCTACGCGGAACCACAACGTAATATTTCTGCTGTTTGACATCGTTGCTTCTTCCAGCCAAATATGCTACTGAGAAAATACTCGCTATTACCCCAATTAAATAGGGCGAAAGTGTTTATTGTCGAAGTACGAAGCTGTATTAGTCCATTGTCTTTGCGTAATCACTGACATGTTTCTATTCACACCTGATTTGGCTCACAGTACCGGACGCTGATGACGCTGACTAACAGATTCGCACGTGTATTAACAAGCTAAAAGAAAGAGTAACAGGAAATGCCACAGAGTAGCGGGCAATCTCTCAGAGTAGCGGCATAAATAATGGAGTAGCGGCCCCGCTACGCTAAAACGCTTTGGGGAGAACACTGTTAGAAGAGAAGAGAAGACAAGACAAGACAAGACAAGACAAAATAGGACAGGATACATTATCATTCAAAGTACTGGTATGGGGAACAGATGCAGATTGTTTGAATTCCATCCTACAATGATAATGGGAATAGGAAGAAGAAGAGAGTCAAACTGGTGCAAATACAATTTTCAATACAGACAAAAATTGCTCTTATAACATATGCTTGCATCTGCACTGAAAGATGTTGGCTAATATTGGAAATATTTTCACTTGGTCTATATATCTATCTAAACACAACCATACATAAAAATATGAAATTTCAACAAAAACAGCTAACATAAAATCTAATTAAGAAGTACCAGTGTCAGTTTGTATCTAATGAGCCAGACTGCTTTTGTCAAAATGCTTTTCATTTGACATGCACAGGCAAGAGTGTGTCCCTCCTAGGGAGAAAGAAACATTTCAGCTTCAGATGTCTAATTAGGACAGGAATGCTGTTGTATTAATTGATACTCAAACAAAAAAAAATATCAGGAAGGCAATCCAGGAGAGATGCAGGAAATACCCACTGTCTTAGAGTGAAAATTGTGTTATGTAAGAAAATGCAAAAATTTCTCCAAACTTGTGGGGCTATAAGATATTTTTAGTACGATTATTTATATAGTATGGACATACATCACATAATCCCCACCATGATACAAAAAAAGCCTGTAAAGCCACAGCCAAATTTTATAGCTGCTATTTATAAGAATCATATTTTTAATAGAAGTGGACAAAAACCAAATATTTCATTTGCTCAATCATTCAAATAAGACTTATTTTGAGCATAGACATCTGTCATATACACAAGCCCATGGACTACTAACAGAACAAATATGTAATTGATTACAATTCTTAAGAAAGAATATCTAAATCCAGAAGACCATATGAATCAATTATAATGCATTTTAATATGACCTTTGCACCCAAATCATTTTTTTGCCATATTATTACAACTGTAAACTTTCGATGCACCCTGTCAACATTGCCTTTCTGTACCACCCAACCCTTAGGTAGTAATAACGACAGGCATCAGTTAATATGCTTTTCTCAGCATGTCTACTATTTTTAAGCAGGTTATCTAGCTAATGCAGTGATTAATTTCACCCCCTCCCTTCCAAGTTAGTGAAATGGGCCTTTTCAAGCCTAAAGCAAATAAACGAAAGTCAAAATTAATTTTACATCAACAGTCCTGCAGTCACCTTCAAACAGCTGTCTTAAAGCATAATACAATCTAGACAAAATGTTGACAAGAGTACTTGAACGAGAGCCATTTCACTAGACAAGATTTAATTCTGAATCAATTCTTATTTCCATATTCATGAAAAACAATACACCCACCCCACAAGAAGCCATATTACATGTAATCTGATATTTGAATTAAGAACTTACCAACTGATCTGCTAGAAGTAAAACTGTTTTAAGGCTAAATTTTCTTGAACAAAAATTGAAGAGATCTTCCAGGCTTGGACCGAGTAGTTCCATAACCATGACATTGTAATCCCCTTCGGCACCACACCATTTTATTGTGGGAATTCCAACTAGAAAAAGTAAGGAAAGTTGTCAGTGAGAAAGGATTGTATTGTGTACAATGCTCTGTTGGGTGTCCACATTTGAATTAAGCTCATCAACAGGAGGGGCCTGGGGTCTAATTTAGACATGTGGCTACCACTACTGATTGTAAACACCAGGCTAGATGGCAATCAATTTTTCAATCAAATTAGAACCTAGGATTGCAGACGCAATGATCCTAGGAAAGAAAACTACTGTAAAAAGAGATTTAGTCAATTATGCAAATTATCTTATTAAGAATAAAATATTCTGTGAATATTGACAACAAAACTAAGATAAACCACAACCTTCATACAATAAATTCATGAAGTTTAAATATGGTAATACAAAATGTACAAGACTCGGCAACCATAGTGACTTGACCTACTTCAAGTAATGGAGTTGGCAGCTGGAATTTTGGTATAAACAAGTACAGACTAGCATTTTAAAACATTTCCTATTATGTTCCACATTTGCCATTCAACATAGTTATCAGTCAGATGTTAAAAAGAACAAATCTATACAATCTGTGGAATTGTACAGAACAAAAGCCAGTGTACCATAGTGATGGGGTATTCTGTAGAAAAGCTGACAAAAGTACGAGACTACCTAAACTACACTAGCCAAATGACAGACTGCTTACTCCTTCAGTAATAACTAGTATGACATGCGTCAATTCAATAGCTGTTACTGTATTAATGGAACAATAGCAGCCAACAACACACGTACATCAAGAACAGCACTGGCCATACAGGGACATTTTTGTAAGCTTGTGTAATGTGTACTATTACACAGCATGTCTAGCATACTTCAGGATGCCATCATCTACTACTTGCCCCGTTTATTTACACACAGCAAACTATTATATTTTCTTGCCTGAAACAGTAGATCATGACTGGAAATAAGATTCAAGAGAGGTGCCGTGCCCTGCAGTCCACAAGGATGAACAGGTAACAAAACAAAAACAATAGCCATGTGGATTGCTCCAAAAAAATAAAATCAATTGTTCAGGATAACAAAAGTGGCCTTGGGCCTGACATGTTTATGGGAAACAGATTTAAAAAAAAAAAAAAAACGAGCAGGCACTGCATGATGACTGCAATGTTTCGATGAAAAACAACTATTTGGCAAACATAAGACAACTAGGTAGTTGTTAAATGGAATGCGAAGGCTACTGAACATGGCAAGCATACAGGAAGTCATCTGGCAACATATATCCCTCCTCAATGTTCACCCCCCCCCCCCCCCCCCGTAAAAGTTGAAGAAATTGACAATAAGTAATTGTAAATGTAATGTTTGTTGATGTACAACACAGCTTGTCAACTGTGTAATGGCCACACTCTAAGAGGTATAAAAACAAACAACGTTTAAGTAACCCTGGCCTTCTTGACAAATAACCCTGGCTTCTTGAAAAAATAATTTGCTATCCAGCACCCACTGTTTTTATTAAGATGTTGTTACTGCATGGCATAGCTTACACAGAACAAGAACTATAAAGTTGTTCCCTGTGGAATGCATTTTAAAATAAGCTGCTACATTACAAATCGGACACCATTCAAAAATGCATTGTAATGTTACACATCAGAAAACGTTCAGGGATCACAGTTTTCCAGCCTCGTGTTCTTCTAAATATAGCAAAGTTATGCACAGAGCAGCTAACCAGTACAATGTAGAATGGCTACACCCACACTCTTAACTAAACTGATTTTATCAATGAAACGAAATATTTTTATAAGGGCCAGCTTTATTTTACACCAGTATACACTAATATATTGCTACTAGCACATAGTTGTTTTCAGTGCAAGCACAAATTCCTTACATAAGAGATAACATTCTTTTGATCAATACAAGAAGGTATTGTTTCCCACAAGCTGAATAAAAGAAGTATGTAATAATTTACATAATAACCTGTAAATTCGCTTTAATATCATAAGTTTCAGGGCAACTTTGTTAAATTTTGTCTCAATGAAACAAAAAAATTCTGAAAATTCTTAGCAGAGAAAATTGAACATTTGACAGTAAACCACATGATGTGAATTATTTCTACTTCCCTTTTGCACATTTTTTTCAGATATTAGATGGATGAAATTTTAGTGAAATTTAGCAAAACAAATTGTTTTTATTTCAACACTCAACAATAAAAAAAATACCTAACTTATCACCCGGGCAGAAATAATGTATATAGATTTACGACTAATCAAAATGTATGGTGGCAAAACTGTTGGGCAGTACACTCAATAAAGACTGCTCAGTTAAGATGTAAAAGCAAAGCTTTAATATCAATTCCTGTTTGACCCGTAAACAAGCAGCATTACCAGGTGAATTCTCAGCCTTTTGAAGAGATTTAATAAGTGCATGTTACCTGCCCCTCCCAAAAAACAACCAATGCTCCAATCACAAAATGCAACCAATATCCATCTTGACATTAATTTTGTTTACAAGACATTAACCTTTCAAAAGTTTAACGTCACTCATTCAATTCCACGAACAATAAAAATGCATGTAAACAGGAGACACAATAAAAATGACAACTGCTGTCCTTGTACATTACTGGAGTTGAAATAAATGAGAAGGCTAGTGATACCCTAGGTCAGAATCAAGTCTCAAGTTTAACAAGGTTGGAAACAATAACAAGAGAAGAAACTCAATAGAGTTCAATGTCACAGACACCTTGAGGGCTTGGCAAGTCTAACCACCCTCTTTCCAATATAATTCCCACAGTCAAGTGGAGAGGAATCGATTGTATAAAGAATTCTACAACTGCTTGGCAAGGGAAATACTGTGAATCTATCCTAAGCGTACCTGTGATGACAACGTTTAAATGAGAGATGACGTAATCATGTGCGATGACTGTGTCTGACTCAGCCAGTGACCTCAAATGATGATGGGTTTCAATAACTGCTTCCTTAGAATCACAGAAAAAAGGCAGGTCGAGAAATCTGTACCAAATAATTTAAATTTATGTGAAAATAGATGTAACAAATTAATATCTAGTCCCACTGCAGAGTGAATACTTTTTATCCCTCTTGAAGAAATCATGATTGACATTCTGTTGCAATCTATATTACTGTCAAAAAAACAGTTTTCTTACATCTACATAAGAGACATTTTCTCATGGGCATGGCAAATTTACTGAACCATCATAGACAATTAATGGAGATAGACCTTATTTAACCCAATTCACTGAATGACAATATTATTTCACATTCAAATCTGTCAGCAATTTATTAATAATATTATAAAACCCTCATCATGACAGTCTAAAATCACTCTTGGTTTTGCTCTTCATGAATTATCATGAATAATCCCAGTATTTGTAATTTGTATATTCATCAATTTTCTCATTAGTTCCATAATATAAAACAAAATGTATGAATGATCGAAAATCAACCCCCCCCCCGAAAAAATGGATGTGAAAAAAGAAATTTAACAAGGTTTTTGACACACCGATAATAAATCCGATATGGATACCCGACACCGTACATCACTAAGGCCCCGTAAACACAAAATAGAGGTGTATATAAACACAGAAAAACAGGGAAAAAACAGTAGTCTGTTTTACGCGATAAACAGGTTCACCAACAAAAATAAAATAATAACGAGACTTACCACCTCCCTGCATCATTTTGTAAAATTTGCTTTCGATATGAAGCTGAGGGTGCTTGGTTTTTACACATTCTAGCTTGATTGCCACTTCTTCGCCGTTCGTAATATTAGTACCTACAAATACACATATAAAAAACATTTTTTTTCTGAGTGGAAAACGTTTCATAACTAAATTAATACGTCGTGCTGCCGAACCACACATGATAAGGAACAAAAGACAGTCAGTCAGCTGCATTTAATACGTGTTCGGCCATTACAGCTGTGTCTGTATTACCGTGTTTTCAAAACACGGTATCAGAAAATATGGGAAATGCCCCAGAATGTCGAACAACTTACCCAAGTATATGTCACCGAAAGAACCACTGCCGATCTTTCGACCTAAGCGATACTTGTTTCCGACCCTCAGTTCCATTTTGACGTTTTAAATTCCTAGGCGGTGGCCTGGTTTTAGACTCTGAAAGATCCACAGAAAAATATGCATGAGAAATCAATTTGAATGACGTTCGCCAAGCGGAAACGGACCGACAGAACGTAGAGAAGGTTGGGAGATTTTCAGAAGCTTAATTACCCACCTAAGTGTAACAAAACAAACTAAAATTAGTACAGATGCAAGCGTGGTTCTTCAATTCCAACCTCAACTAGAAGATGGAAGAAGAACTATAAAGGAAGCTGATAGATTGGATCGATTCTTCATGGTCAGTCAGTGCCTGAGATCTTTGGCGAGCGCCATTATTTACTTTCATAGCCCTATGGTTGCCGGTGTTTCTGCGCATGCTCGAACTAAAAAAAAATAACAGCGTAATGAGTGGCAGTTCCCGGATGTACATCAAACGCTTCTAAAAACTACCATGGAAACTGTTCAAAACGGAAACAATAGAAATATTAACCAAATAGTCACAAGTGCAGGATGTAATGCTGTGTAGTTGGGGATAAAATGCTAGTCACTAAATACAGATACTCAAAACTAGCAACTCGACAAGTATACTAGTAACTAGAAACAGGTCAAGCTGGATGCACAGGTCAACATGATGTATTGAGCTGGGTTGTAGGTGGGAAATTGGAGGAGGTCATCAGCACGGTTCAGAGAATTATAGGTGATGTCATCAACATGTTGTGAATTGTGTGACATAAGGTTTATTTAAAATCATGGTGGGCGGTGCCTGTAAGGTTTCTTGAAAAAAAAAAAAAAAATTGCAAACTAGATACCAAAAGAAAAAAAAAGTGAATGCAATTTGACACGTTCCAGAAAAATAGAAATGTACAATTATGAGACCGAGAAAAAAAAGATGCAAACATGATTCAAAATGGTTTACCCCTTAATTGTGAACGCTGAGCATTATGATTCAAACAATGTGTAAAATTCTCTGGTACCAAGGTCTGGCATGACTGTTCTTCAGATCATAGAATCCACCGTCCCATAAAATTAATAATAATAATCTAAACAATACAGTTAAGGAATTAATCGTCATAAATAAACAATCATAAATCATGCGAATTTTAGAAAATAATTCATTATATTTATCAAAATATACTTTTTTACAAGTTTTCATCGTAAGTCAATTATTGTTGTAGTTTATGTTTTTCATCATGGTTTATATATATTTAAAGGTCAAATATTTAATTTAAAGGGTTGTGGTCGTTGCGCCTTGCATGTGTGAGATATCGGCCTAATTTAAACAAAGATGGTGACTTTGACTGTAATGTGCAGATAAACTGAGATGTTACCAACTTTAATTAGGTAATTTTTTTGGTGATTTATAGAAGCATAGACTTTAGGTAATTAGTGCAAGCCACACCCAGGTCAAAAGTCGTACTCATGATTTCATTAAAATAGTGCATTGTATTGTGGGAAAATCAATGTTTATCAACACATAATGTTGCACATGTGCGGCACGAAGACCACCACCCTTTAAAATAAGTCAGTTATAAAATAATAAAAATCCACATTAGAATCATCTTATCAATGATGAAAACAAATATCATAACATAGTTGAACTCTGGTGACCTTGCCCTTTGTTATATAATATAATTCCCTTTATCATAGTTTGTTTCAATATAAATATGCATTGTCATAATTAATTTTGAATACAAACAAGTTTTGGGGTTGAAACAACAGTGGGGAATCAGTCTACCGAATGTCCTAAAAAGATGTAAATATCTTACAAAAACATTGGTGCCTTATTTGTTTAATTATTTTAAGGGACATAATTTCCAGCTTTCTTCAAAGTAATTCAGATATTTTAGTATAAAAACAAATGTCTCATTGAAAAAAAAAAGTGCTGCATTTAGATGTGAATAGATTCATAAAACATGCAAGATAACGGAAAATTTTAGCTGGCTTTTGTACAGGTGTCTGTCAAAAATTAATGATTCACTGAGACAAATATGAACTGCCTCATTGTGTGACTACTGTATTATATGAAAA